AACACTCTTGGCACCAGCAGCCAGGAAATTAAAAGACTTATTGCAATGGGAAAGTCTGCTGTTAGGGACCTCTCTAAAGTGCTGAAGAGCAACGGTGTGTCTCAGGCCATGGTCTTCGCGATCACTTGTTATGCGTCAGAGAGCTGGACAATGACCAGGGAGGATAGAAGGAGAATTGATGCCTTTGAGCTTTGGTGTTGGAGAAGAGTGCTGAGGGTACCATGGACTGCTAAGAAAACAAACAGATTCATCCTGAGAGGGTTAAACTGGGCTGCTCCTTGGAGGCAAGGATTCTGAAACTTCATTTGACCAAGGTATCTTGGTCATGTTGTAAGCGACCAGCCCTTGGAGGAGGACATCATGCTTGGGAGGGTGAAGGGTAGGTGCAGGAGGGGAACGCCCTCTGGGAGGTGTACTGATTCAGTGACTGGGGTAAATCAGGATGAGTGTGTAGGAGACAATGAGATTGGCACAGGACAGAGCAGAGTTCAGAGCTGTTGCACATAGGGTCGCGACTTGACAGCACATAACAACAAAAACAATAACAAGGGAGACTAGTGTTTCATCTGGAGGAACATTCTTCCACTTTGTACATTACTCTTTGCCAGTTTGCTATACTGAGCTAATCTGGGTTTGCTGTGATGCTGAACCTTGTACCATTTGGGTATCAAATTCTATAATGGTATCCCAAGTTGTAAAACAGGTTTGGAAGGAGTGGCATCCACTTCCTAAACCACATGCCTCTGGAAAACCTATGAACTTGGAGAAATGACAAAAGTAATGGAAAGGCTTTAGGAATTTCGTTCATAGGGTCACTATGAGTCGTGCTCGACTCAACAACAATCAACAACACATTCCTTTTAAACTGTTCTTTCCCTCATCTGTTTGAATGCAGTGTACATTATTTATCTCCTCTTTTCTCAGTTTTCCACCAAACCCCATGTCAGTCCTATTTTACAACAGTGGCACTATGCAGTATTTTTCCTTTTGTGACTGAGATATTTCATTCAGCCAAATGTCATTTAGGGTCACCCACTTTGTAAAATATATCATGAGTTCCTTGTTTTTCAAATATATCACAGCTTCTCTATCCATTCTTTTATTGATGGACACTTGGGTTGCTTCCATCCCTTTGCTATTGTGAACCATACAGGCGGTTATGGTTTCTTTAGGGTAAATTCCAAGTAGTGGAATTGCTGGGTCAAATGGTATTTCTATTTGCAACTTTTTGAGAAAGCGCGATACAACCTTCCATAGTTGTTGCACCATTTTACACTCCCACCAACAGTGAATAAAGGTTCTAGTTTCTCCACAACCTCACCAGCATTTGATGTTTGCTACTCTGTTGAATTTTGCACACACTTTAGTCTTAAACTGACAACATTGCTCTTAGAACTTTGGAGAGGTCCTTGACAGCAGATTTCCCAAACGTAACACATCTTTAGATTTCCTGACTACTAGCATGGACGGTGCTCCCAGTAAGATAAAATCATTGACAATTCAACCTCTTCTCTCTCTGTCATGATGTTGCCTTAAAGGTCCAGTGGTGAGGATTTCTGTTTACTTGAAGTTGAGATATAATTCAGATTGAAGGCTGTAGATTTTGATCTTCTGTAGCAAATGCTTCAAGTCTGCTTCACCTATGCAAGCAAGGCTGTGCCATCTGCATAATGCGGTTTGCTGATGAGTCTTCCTCCAGTTCTGGTGCCACATTCTTCTGCAGAGCCCAGCTTCTGGCTTTGGAGGCAGGCTCTCTGTGGGCAGAACTTGATACCACCACACCATCACAACTCTTGGGGCGTTTGACTCAAATCTTCATTGCGCTGCTCCTTGTACATCAGAAGGAACTACAACTGGGTCTCGCACCATCTCCCCATAACTGCTAAATGGAACAGTAATCAAGACGGCTTGAGTGTCTCAGAACAATTCACCTGCTTTCTTTTCAGGTGCCAGTTCTTTTTTGTGCTTTTGTTATCCATTTACTGTTGTAAGATTCCTTAATAGGTCTTAAGTCCACCAATATGATTTGTAACATTTAATCAAATAAAAGAATCATGTTTTGAAAGTAAGTAAACACTGCAAGCCAAAAAGAAAGACATCAACCATAAAAAAGAAGAGTCCAGCTTCCCAAATTATTTGCTCAGCACACAGACTGAATAGGTATGTAGAAAGGATACAACCCTGACACATTTTTCCTGACTTTAAACTGTGCAGTGTTCCCTCAGTCTGCTCACACAACTGCTTCTTGTTCGAGGTGTAGGTTTTACATGCATACAATTCAGTGTTCTGGGATTCCCATTCTTCTCAATGTCAGTTGTGACTGGTTATGATGTAGTAAGATTCCTTTGCATAGTTGATAAAACACGACATCTTTCTAGTATTCTCTGCTTTCAGCTAAGAGTTAGCTGATATTAGCAATGAGAGCCCTCATTCCACAGCCTCTGACGAATCCAGCTTGAAGCCAAGGCTTTACGTACATGTGTATTAATCATATCTCTCCCACTGGAAAGACGCTGACACAGAGGACAACAATGGAATCAAAAAGCCCAGAATCCCAGCACATATGACTGCAGCTCAAGCAGTGCTCAGAGAGCCCCAGGCATCATGCATCGTGGCCCACTCTCTAGCAGGCCTGCACGACTGGACACTGCCCGGGAGAGACTGCCTTCTTCATCCCTCGGGGCAGATGGTGCACTGCAACTCCCAGAGAGGTGGCCTCCTAGACGACACTCAGAGCTCCCTGCTTAAAGGAAGTGTCCAACTAATAACCATAGGCAACTAGAAAATGAAAGTAAGCTGGGTCCCAACGCTGCCCCCGCAGAGGACGACCCTGGGCGGGACACGCGGTAAGTTGACCTGAGTCCCTGTACTCTTCCCCCTCAAGTCAAAGTGTTAAAACTGCTCCCTACTCAGGACCCTGGTTCCGCCCCAGCCACACTCACCTTCCGGGCCCAGCCAAGCAGGACGGTGTTGTACATGCTGAGTGTGAGTGGCCGCCGTCGCCGGCCATGCTGGGTGACCAGCACGTGGTGGGCCAAGGACACGTTGTCTGTGTGCAGGCAGCACTCGAGGAAGGCCAGGAGCTTCTGCTGCTGGCCTGTGAGCTGGGTCTCCGGGGCCCCGTCGGCCGGCTTTTGAGACTCCTCCCGGCTAAGCTTCTGCGGGGCCTCCTGCAGTACTCGCGACAGCTGCTCTTCCCACGGGTGGACTGGGCCGCCCTGTGCCCATCGCTGCAGGCAGCTGGCCAGCTGGCCATTCTGCAGCCGAGGCTCTACCCGCAGTGGCCGTAGTGGTCGCACCTTGGCCTTCTTCTGGGCCTGGGCCTGCAGCCTCTCCTCCAGCATCTGCCTGCACTTCTGCATAATGACCTTCTCCTTGTCCAGCTTCTGGGCCCAACGGCCATGCAGCTCGGGGGTGGCCCCCTTAGCGGCCTTCCCGGGCGGCTGGGAACTGCTGCTGTTCGGTGGTCGTGCGGCCACCTTCACCCTCTTCACGGTCACTTCAGACACCGACTCGGCCTGCAGCTGCCGCACTCGTGCCTTGAGGACTGTGTGGACAGGAGAGTGGAAGTCAGAGGAGGCTTCATGACCGCCCAAGACCCTGGAGACGCCCTGTGCCAGCCTGCCGCCAACCTTACTGGTCCTGAATGTCGAATTCCATGTCTTTGCTGACCACTCCCTAATTTCTGTGCCCAGCTCCAGTGATCATTAGCCGACCATCTCTGGTGCTGGCAGCACCATACTCCCAGGAACAAGCCAAGGAGCCTGGGGTCATCAGCTCTCCCACCCCTCACCAAATCCAACAGTGCATCCTCTCAGCCTGCCCAGAGTCGCCCTCCCTACACCCCCATCACCCTCTGGGCCAGAGCAGTGTCTGTTCTCTCTATGACCACAAGAGGGTGCCCAGAGCACCCTGTGTTGTCAGCTGCGGGCTACCCTCCAACCTCTCCCACTGTCAAACAGGACCCTGCGTTCTGCTTCCTTCGCCCCCCCACCCCCTTTCCCACCGTTTCCACACCTCACCAAGCAGCCGATCTGGCCTGAGGACCTTGGCACAAGCTATCGCCCCATCCCTGGACCACCACCACGGGACTTGCACGGGACACCTGGTTCAGTCTCAACACCCCCCCATCCCATCTCCTCCTGCTCTTGTCTCCATCAGTACAGAGCCCTTAGTTCACCGGGACCTAGTACCCTGCTAGGAGTTGGCTCCCAACACGCCAGGGTCTGTGGATTGAGCAGGGCTGCACTGTTCTTGCCTTCCTGGGATGGTCCCAGGGCCACAACTTGGAGCCCCTACACATTCTAAACGGTGGAAGCAGCTAGAGCGCATGCTCTGTACTGTCTTCTCAGCATCCCCTGGCGTCAATCTCCCAAAAGGTGGTCCCACTGCACCCCCATCTCAGTGTGGTCCTTGGAAGGCTGTTCTGTCACGTGGCGTGGTGAGTGGCAGATGGCAAGCATCAGGAGGGCACAGTGGGCAGCGTGCAGGGCCCAGGGTGCAGGGTACAGCGTGGGCTCCTCCTCCAGCCAGGGGTCCTGAACTCACCTTCCAGCAGCTCTGCATGGCCCCAATCCTTCTGATGGTCTCGTTCACAAGGCCTCTGGAGGCCCAGGGTCCCCGCTCCTGTGGGAGACAAAAGAGGTGGTCATATGGACACAGAGGAAGGATCCCACACTGCCGTCTGGGCTTCACATTGGAAAGGCACCCAGAGGCCAAGCTGTAGGACAAATGGTCCCCCCAGATCAATTGGTGGCCTCGAGTGGATTCCGACTCACAGGCACCCTGCAGGACAACGTGGAACTGCCCCGGAGGCTTCCAGGCAAAAGCCACAACTGTCACATGGGGCTTATGTGGAGCGGCTGAACCGCCGACCTCCGCTAGCGACCCAATGCTGAACCACTGGGCCAGGTCAAGCGTCTTAATCCCAACGGAGAGTGACAGTTCACCAGGAGAAACCGCGAAGGGAGCGAGGTCAAGGCCAAGGCACACGGCGCGCCAGCACAGTCCCAGTGCCCACCCAGCAGGAGCAAAGGTCTCGGTCCAGAAAGCCTAAAGATCAAGGCTGCGGGGCTAGCGCGGCACCAGCCGCGGCGGCCCTGATCGCGGGCCTCCCCTGCATTACCTCGCTCGGTCCGGAGCGCGGGGCGACCCGCGGGCACCAGGACCCGGGCCAGGCCCGCCGCGCCGAGGCCGCAGCGCAGCGCCAACATGCCGCACGCCGCCAACCGCTCCGCTCCTGCGCCGCCGCAGCCGCCACTGCGCCTGCCGGAAGTTGTAGTCCCTGGGCCAGACCGGAAATCCACCTCCGGAACTACAACTCCCAGATGACTGTGGGGCTCCAGTGGCGGACATGCATGCGCAGGGGGCGCCCTCCGATTGGCTCATCCTTCAGTTCTGTTGTGGGCGGGCTGAGCTGTTTCCTGGAGAACGCGGGTTCTTCTGCTATCGTCGTGGGGGTGATCATCTTGCGCTCTTTTAAGAGCTGGTTAGCTGATAATTAGGATTCCGTTCTGTGACTTAGACATTCTGTCGGGCACTGTCACCGGTCCAGCTGAAACCTGGGGGTAATGACTATTGCCCACTACATACAGCGTGGGCATTTCAGGATGCGCGTCTGTCCTGGCTTCCTGGCCGTGTCCCTCGTCCACTCCGTTTTTCCTGCTAATCCCTAGGCCTCTGGGCCTGAGAGGTTTAGGTAAAGTGGGTGTCTGTTCTGCTCCAAGAAGATTAGTAATGAGACCATAGAGCATTGATCGGGGGCCCAGGCTCCCAGGGCTGACGCAGAGCAGAGGTCGACGGAGGCCAAGCAGGCAGCGCTGATCCCGAGGACAGGAGGGAGCCCTGGGGTCCCCCGGGGTCGGTGATGGGCGCGCCGCCGATATGGCTGCCACTTGCCCACAGGTGCGAGGCCTGGGCCCCCGGGTCCACGGCAGGGCGGGCCAAGTGCAGGAGCCTCCTGGACGCCAGGTCTGGCTGGTGACATTCCAGACGCAGCCGCCCCCGCAGGCCTGGGCGACGTGATGCCACCAACTCGGAATGTTTTCGACAGATTGCTGCGCCTGCCTGAGCCGACCGGCACGCCCCAAGGCGCCAGGCCGTGACTGAGACCAGCCTCTTCCTGCTGGCCCCTGGATGGATCAGCCTCACACTTCCTGGACCCTAACCCACAGCACGACTTCTCAGTTCTCCCACAGTTTCTGAAGCCACAGCTTTCTCATCTGGAGAGGGCATGAGACACCCTCGTCCTGCCAGTTTCCACAGAGCTGGTTCCCTAAGCCTAGCATAGAGGAAGGTGTCCTCCTGATGAGCTCAACCTGGGGGCTGCGCTGGCCAGTCTAAACTCCTGAGATCAGGACTGACCTTTCTCTTTCTCATCCTACCCTGTCTCAGTTTTATGTTGGTAAACATCATATATGCCATTTTAACTCTTTTCCGTGAACAATTCCATAACATTCACCGTCTTGCCCAGTCCCACGTCATTTTCATCACGCCTGGCAGCAACGGGCTCATCGTGTGGCTTTTCTAGACCAGGGTGGGATGGCATAAAGGACACAATCCAACTAGAAAGCAAGATGTCATTACAAAGACAGGGAAGACGAAAACAGACCAAAATGGGGATCAAAAAAGGCTCCAAAGCTTGCACTGGAATGAAAAGAAGCCAAAGCAAGGGGAAAGCAAGCTGAACAGGAGCTTGCAAAGGACACCTTGAGGAGACAAACGGAGCTCCAAGAGCCTAGTGGATAAAGACCTGTATTGCCAGCCCAAAGGCACAGGGTTCAAATCCACATGCTGCTCCACAGGAGAACAGTCTCCCCCGTGCAATTGACTGCCTCTGGCAACCCTCTAGAGGGTCAGCTATGCATTGGTTCCAGCTCACTGGAACATAACAACAGAAAAGGCAAAGCAAAACATTATAACAAAATACGCAAGGAGCTAAAGTTAGCAAACAAAAGGGAAGAACAGGCTTGGCATTTCTCAAGCTGGAAAACCGGAAGAACAAATTGCATCATCGAGTTGCAACACTGAAGGATTCCATGGGCAAAATCCTGAGTGATGCAGGAAACATGGAAAGGAGAAGGTTGACATTGAGCCGTTTCAGATAGTAGCATATGATCAAGAACCAGTGGGGATGAGGATGCAGTCCACCTGCACTGAAGGCATTATAAAAACAAACAAACAAAACCCAAAACAATCAAAGACCCCAGGAATTGATACCACTGACATGTTTTAGGTCAGGGAACAGGTGCAACCCTGGACGTGCTCACCAATATCTGTCAATAAATATGGACAACAACTACCTGGCCAACTGACTGGAAGAGATCCCATTCCAAAAAAGGGTGATCCTACAGACTGTGGAAACTATTGAACAAAACCATAGCTCCGTGTCACATACTTCGGACCCATGGCCAGAAGGGACCAGTCCTTGGAAAAGGACATCATGCTTGGAAGGGTGGAGGGTCAGCTCAGGAGAGGAAGATCCAGGAGGAGATGAATTGATTCAGTGGCTAGAGAAATGGGATTAGGTCTGTCAGCAGCATTCAGAACTAATGCACAAAGGGTCACTATGAGTTGCAGGCAACTCGATGGCACACACAGCAACAGCAAGTACAGTCTTATTGAAGAATATTAAAACATGGCAGGAGCAGTCCATTGACAGGGAGCTACTAGAAGTTCAAGGTGGATTCAGAAGAGGTCATGGCACGGGGGCTATCATTGCTGATGTCAGATGGGTGTTGGCTGAAGCAGAATGTCAGATCTGTGTCTTGATTATGCAAAGCTATTTGACTCGATTATAACAAATTATGACTAACAAGCATGGGAATCCCAGAACACTAAATTGTGCTCATGAGAAACCTGAGTTGATGTGTACCATCCAGTCAGAACCAACCCTAGCTGACCCTCCAGTGGGTTTTCAGAGGCAGCTTAATTGTATGGGAGGAGATTGCCCATCCTTCTCCTGCAGAGCAGCTGGTGGGTTCAAACCACATTCCTGCTGAACTGCAGTGTAGTTTCTCACCACTGGGCCACCAGAGCTCACTATATATGAGAAAGCTGCACACAGACTTAAAAAGTAGTTGTCCAAACAGAATAAGGGGACAATGAGTGGTTTAAAATCAGCAGAGGTGTGTATCAGGACCGTATCCTTTCACCTATTCATCTCTCATACTTTAGGCATGTTGTTAGGAGAGGCCATTCCTTGGAAAGGGACATGATACCTGGAAAGATGGAAGGTCAGCAAAAGAGAGGAAGAGCTCCAGTGAGCTAGATTGACAAGTGACTGCAGCAATGGGCTCAAGTAGGTCAGAGAGTTTTAAGATGGTAAAGGATAGAACAGGGTTCAGGTCTGTTGTTCATAGGGTTGCTATGAGCTGCATTCAGATCAATGGCACCTAACAGCAACAACAGTTCAATCTGTATGGTAAGTAAGCCATAGAGAAGCTGGACTCTGAAGAAGAATGTGCCATCAGACTTAGAGGAAGTTTCGTCAACAACCTGTATTATGCAGATGACAAACCCTTGCTTGCTGAAAGTGAGGAGGACCTGAAGCACTTATTGTGGAAGATCAAACTCTATACCCTTCAATATGGGTCACATCTTAACATCGAGGAAATGAAAACATCACCACGGGCCAACAGGCAAAATCATGGAAGATAAAGATTGGAAGTTGTCAAAGATTTCATTTTATTTGAATTCACAATCAAAACCCATGGCTGCAGCTTTGGGGAAATCTGCTTGCAAAGGTCTCTCCAAAGGGTTAAAGAGTAATGATAACAGTTTAAAGACTAAGGTGCACCTTCTCCAAGCTGCAGTATTTTCAATTGCTTCCTAAGCATCAAAGTTGGAAAATAAATAAAGAAGACTGAAGAAGAATTGATGCTTTTGAACTGTGGTGTTAGTGAAGAGTATAGACCAGCTCCATGGACTGCCGAAAGAACAAACAAATCCGTCTTGAAGGAAATACTAGCAGAGTGCTTCTTAGAGGTTAAGCTTTATCTCACATAATCTGGGAATAGTCTCAGGAGGAACCAGTCTTTGGAGAGAGACACCATGCTGGTAAAGGTAGAGGGTCAGTAAAAGAGAGGGAGAAGACCTTTCAAAGATGGATTGAGACAGTGATGGCCATGCGGGTTTCATTAAGCATGACAGCGGTCATGAGGATGTGCAGGATAGGGCAAGGCCCAGATTAATTGCTCACGGGGTTGTGCACTGGACAGTACTTAGAGGCAACACTAGCTACTGGCTTTGACTTTGGCCATGTAGCTGGGTAGGGGTGGTGTTGGGTGGCCAGAAGTCAGCTACAACTCATAGCAAGCCTACGAACAACAGATCAGAGCCCTGCATTCTCCTGTGACTTCCTCATTCTCTTGGCTGAATGGGATTATACAAATATGTCTACCATAGGGATTGGATGGCTTGCTAATAATGTAAATAGCATATTCTGGTCAACTCATCTCTGGCGAGTCAGAACTGACTCACAGCTGACCTTCCCGAAGGTTCTGGCAATCTTCTTTCACAGACACTGGTGGGTGCCAACCAGGGAGAGGCACAGCATTGGAGTTTGCTCTTTGGACGATGCATGCCACATCTGTTTCTCGTCCGTTTGTCATTTCCAGCATAATAGAGCTTGTGATTGTCTGATTAAAAATGACAATCCTGCTTCAGCTCAGCTCATTAATGCCTTGGATGTTGATCTTTATGTGTTCCATTTCATTTTTTATGACTTCCAATTTCCCTAGGTTTATGCTTCATATATTTCATGTTTCAATTATGGATGTTTGTAGCTTTTTCTCCTCATTTTGAGTCTTTCCACATTAGAAATGAAGACCAGCCACTTCCTGTCTCTGCCTTTGATCATCCCACTGGCTGTTGTCAAAGAACGCATTAAAGCACTAAAGGGTAAGGATGTCCTTTTAGAGACTAAGGTGCATGATCCAAGCCATGGTATTACTGATTGTTTTCTATGCATTGGAAAGTTGGACAATGAGTAAGGAAAATAGAAGAATTGATGCTCTTGAATTGTGGTGTTGGTGAAAGTACTGAATATCTCATGGACTGTCCCAAACAATCAAGTCTACAAAACAAAACCAAAACAATCAAGTCTGTCCTGGCGAAGTACAAGCAGGGTGCTCCTTAGAGGTGGGCACGGTGAAGCTCCAGCTCAAGTGCTTTGGGCATGTCGTGAGGAAGGGTCATCCCTCCACATGCAGGGAAAGATGAAGGGTCGGAGAGAAGAGACTCTCAACGAGAAGGGTTGGCACAGTGGTCTCTGCCATGTGGTCTCAGGCAGGTGGAGATGGTAGGGATGGTGCAGGATAGGGCAAGTGTTGTTTACGGGGTCACTGTGAGACATACTCCTCTTCGCAACAACTTAAGAAAAAATGCGGTGGTATAGGCGGTACTATGCTAATGAGGTATAGGCACATTTTCTTGGCACAGCTGCGCATGCCCAAGGGCGGCAGTACAGCTGCACATGCGTGTTCAGTACCGGTTATTGAGTTCTTCAGTCAAGGTCGGCAGGCTTACAGCTGCGTTTTCAGGAAGGTTGGAAAATGGGCCTGCTGCTTGACACCAGCTAACTCTAATAAACAGCTTAGAGGGAACTGGAGTCAGTTTAAAGACTAAGGCATACTAGACTCAAGCCGTGTTATTTTTGTTAAATGCCGTGGGTTCACCTGTGATCCACAGCGACCCTCTACACAAGAGTTCTGAACCCTGTTCTATCCTGAACGAGTTTCACTGACTCCTACACACCTACCCCCATTGCCCCAGTTACTGTCTCAGTCCATCTCATCCAGGGTCTTCCTCTCCTGCGCTGTCCCTCCACCCTTCCAAGCATGATGTTCTTCTCCAAGGACTGGTCCCTCCTGGCCACGTGCTCAAAGTATATGAGACGGACCTTCAGACTCCTTGCCTCCAAGAAGCAACCTGGTTTCGCCATCTCCAGGACAGACTTGTTTGTTCTATTGGCAGTCCGTGGAATGCTCAATACTCTTCAGCACAACTCAAAGGCATAGATTCTTCTTGTCATTCTTAGTCCTTGTCCAGCTGTCTGATGCATAGCAAGTGAATGCAAATTACCTGGATTGAGCTCATCTTAGTCTCCAGACTGACACCGTTGCTCTTCAGCACTCTGCAGAGGTCAGATTTTCCTAATGCAATTTGCCTTTATTTCCTGACTGCTGGTGCCGAGAGTGTTGCTCATGGAGCCAAGCAAGCTAACATTGTTAACAATTTCAATCACTTCTCCATCCATCATGGTTCTGCCAACTGGCACAGTGGTGAGAATTGTTGTCTTCTTGATGTTGAGCTTCAATCCATATTAAAGACTACAGTCCTCAATCTTCAGCAGCAAGCTCTTCAGGTCCTCCTCAGTTTCAGCAAGCAAGGTGTGTCATCTGCGTAACACAGGTTGCTAATGAGTCTTCCTCCAGTCTTTATGCCACATTCCTCCTCATGAAGTCCAGCCTCCTGAATGACTTGTTCCACAGAAAGATTGAACATGTATGGAGACAGGATGCATCCTGATGTTGGACCCTACAGTGTCTCCCTGCTCTGTTCTGGTGACTACTTCCTTGTCCAAGTACAGACTTCACCATACTATTTTCAGTTGAGGGACCTCTCTAAAGTACTCGAGAGCAACGGTGTCTCTCTGGAAACTAAGGTCTGTCTGATACAGGCCATGGTTTTTGCTATCACTTGTTATGCATCAGAGAGTTGGACAATGACTAGGGAGGATAGAAGCAGAATTGACGCCTTTGAGCTGTGTGCTGGAGAAGAGTATTGAATGTACCATGGACTGCCAAGAAAACAAACAGATTCGTCCTAGAAAGGGTTAAACCAGGCTACTTCTTGGAGGCAAGGATACTGGGGCTTCGTCTGACATACTTCGGACATGTTGTAAGGAGAGACAGGTCTTTAGAGAGGGACATCATGCTGGGTAGAGTGGAGGGACAGCGCAGGAGGGGAAGACCCTCTATGAGGTGGATTGATTCAGTGACTGGGGTAATCGGGATGGGTGTGTCAGAGGCAATGTGATTGGCACAGTATAGAGCAGGGTTTAGGGCTGTTGTACATGGGGTTGCTATGAGTCGCAAACGACTCGACGGCACATAACAACAATAACAACATTTTCAGTTGTTTCACAGGCTTGTGAAAGTTGGGACACTGAATAAGGAAAATCCAGGGAGAATCAGTGCCTCTGAGTTGTGGTGTTGGCGAAGAGAATGTAATATTGCGTAGATTGCCAAAGGAACAACTCTGCATTGGAGGAAATGCAGCCAGGATGCTCCTTGGAAGCAGAGGTGCTAACACTTCATCTCAGATACTTTGGGCATGTCGTCAGAAGGGACCAGCCCCCAGGAAAGCACATCGTGCTGGGAAAAGTAGTGGGTTGTGAGGGAGAGGAAGCCCCTCAGGAGATGGACTGATGCAGAGGCTGTGAGAGTGGTGCCACATGGGACAGGGCTTCATTCTGCAATACACAGCATCACTGTGGGTTGGAGCCCCGTTGATGGCACCTAACAGCAATGCCAACAAATTTGCAAATGCCAACAAAAAAATGCAAATTTCCTTACGCTTTACACCCAGCTTTCACAGGCAGGCTGGAGTCCGTTTCCACTGCTGCCGTGACTGGGCCATGGTGTCCCATGCTACTCTGAGGGGGCAGGCTGCAGCAATGGCGCCCAGTGGTGGGACTCAACCTGGGTCAGGGAAGAGTTTGAGCAGTGACATGAGGTGTGGAGAGGTCTCTTTGGGGGTTTGAATGCTCCAGAACTAGGAAAGGGGTGACGACTTCATATGGTGACCTGTAGGATAAGTCATATCCGTAAAAGCTGTCAGTGTGCTCAGCGCTGTGCTGGGGATGCATCTCCCCACCCCTGAGGGCTTGGAGGAGGGGTCTGGCTGATCCCAGCATGGTGAGTGGGAACATCCTCAAACCTACTTCATGTCCTGCACTCTGCCTATGGCCAGCCCATGGGACGCACTGTGGCTGAGGCAGGTAAGGTGCTTGCACAGGGTCCCCCAGGGACCAGTGTCACAATTCTTCAGGCAGGGAACGGATGCCCCATGTCTATAGGGGAGTTCCCATCTCACTCTTGGGGTCCTGGACTTTGGCTGCCTGCCACATCACACATAGCTCACTGGGTGGGAACGAGGGTGTCAGGAACCTCCCCCCTTCAGCCATCATGAAGGCACAGTGGCATCCAGACAGACAGGTTACACTTCCAGGAGGACCTGGTGCTTAGTGCTGCCTGGGGCCAGCATGGGCATCTGTAGGACAGGGCCAAGCCCGGTTCAGAGATGAGGTGGTGAGGCGCGAGGTGTTCATTCAGGTCTCAGCTTCTCCACCTGTCAATGACACCTCTTGGCCCAAACTCTGAAGCCTCATTCCTGGGGCACAGCTACCCCTGTACCGGGAAGGCAGGCAGGGTGAATGCTGCCCTGGGGACATCCGGGCTGAGTATGGCTGGGTGGTTCCCAGTTGGTGTCCAGCTGCAAAGGACTAGCAAATGTGGGTGCAATGAGCCACCCCATCCTGGGCTGCAGAGCAGCTATAGACTTGGCCCATTTGGGCCATCCCCTATGGCTGCCAGTTGGCCATCAGCTGTCACATGTCCACCCACATCCCATCAGGTGCCACAACATCTGTCCACACCCCTCCATCCTCCTATCGATCCCCTCCCTGGACACTGCTGCAACCGCTCCCCCTCATGGAAGCCTTACTCAGCACCCTCTCCTCTCCACGTCTCCCCTCCTCTCTCTCACAGCTGCTGTCTCCATCTCTTTCAGCTTTTGTCTTGGTATCTCTGTCTCGTGGTCTCTCTCATTTCTCTGGATCACTTGGCATCTCTCTACCTGTGTCATGCGGTCTTGTCTGTTTCGCTCTATCTCCTAGCTCTGTCTCTATCTGATTCTCCTTATCTCAGGTGTCAGAACCTCTGTCTGTCTTCCTGTCTATCTCTGACTGTTTCCCTTCCTCCCAGTGACTCTTTCAGTGTCTATTTCTGATTCTTCATCTCCCGGTCTCTGTCTCCCCATCTTTATGTTCCTGTGTCTCCCGATCTCGGTCTCCTTGTCTCTGCCTCTATCCCCCTGTCTCTCTCCCTCTGTCTCCCCCCACCACCGTCTCTCTCCCTATTGCAGGGTTGTACAATGTGGTAGGTGGAGGGAGGGAGTAAAGGAAATGAGAAAGATCTGACAGGGACATGAAAAGACAGGGTAATGGGAGGCACAGTCCAATGGTGATTAATTTTATAAAACATAATGAATGGGAATGACTATGAAACAATGTGAATGAAGAATGCTGTCACTCCCCACCCCATCTCTCTTCCTCTCTGTCTTTATCTCCCTGTCTCTCTACCTCAGTCTCTCCATCTCTGTCTCTATACCCCTGTCTCTTTGTCTCTATCCCTCCCCATCCCATCTCTCTCCCTCCATCTCTGTTTCTATTCCCCTCTCCCCCCAGTCTGTCTCTCCCTCCATTTCTCTCCATCTCTGTCTCTATCCCCCTGTCTCTATACTCTGTCTCTCTGGGTCGCTATCTGTTGCTCTCTCGGTCCCCCCTCCCCCATCTCCTGCGCTATTCCCCAGTCTGTGTCTCCTTCTAGCATCTCTCTGTCTTCCTGTCTCTCCTATCTCTGTAACCCTGTGTCTCTCTTGGGGTCCCTGGACCCGCCTCTCACTCTCACAGCCCCGCAGCCCCCGCGGCCCCAGGTCCGAGCCAATGTCGTGACTCACCATGCTCCCCGCCCCGCAAGACAAACAAACACGCGCGGGGGCAGGAGCGCGTTATTTCTGAATGGACCCCGCCCCGATACGCCATTGGTCATTCCCAACCGCTCCGCCCCCCCGGCCCCGCCCCCGGCGTCCCCACTGGCTGGCGTGGGCGGTGCGTCCAGGCGCCCCGCCCCAGCTTGCAATGGCAGAGCC